AATGAGGACCAAGTGTGGATGTGCCGCTCTGCACTGCGAGGGCTGCATGCTCCGCGGATAAAACAAGCATGAAGACAGGCACAAGTACCCTGGTCTCAAGACTTTTATTATGACAGTCTGAAAAAGAGCCCTGCTAGTTGTGCAGGATGAATGTGGAGTCACTTGCAAGGAACCGTTGGAGCACACTGCTGCCCATGGAGCCCTCGCTGCTCCAGTCAGTCACTCAGTTATGGGGGATGCTCAGAGGAAAGTCTCATCATTATTTACATTGCTCATCTGGCTTACATGTGAGAAGAAGGGGCCCTTCTGTCTCTGCCTCTGTGCAGAGTTGGGAACTGGGCAGTGCACGGGCTCCCTGGATACATCTATGCCCTGCGAATCTAAGCTTTTGCCTACTTCCCTCAGAGCTAAAAAAAAAAAAATACAAGCATTCCCTAAAGAGCTGTATGAAAAAATATAGAGACACAATGACAGCTCAGCCATTCCCCACACAGCACTACGGGGGAAGCAGGGACTGCTGGGATATAACAGTCATAGAGAAGTGTTCAGCTCTTACTGCTTAAAGCTTCCTAAATGCAGCTGAGGCAAATGTGGAGGGACGGAAGAGAAAGCAGCCTGGGATTTCACTGCCATAAATAACCCTTGGTGTACATGGTAATTCCCATTCTTTCCTGTCAACCAGCCATGGCTCCTGTCCCGGGTTCTCCCACTGCTCTGAAGCCTGGCACAGTGGTCTGGGGCCTAGAACCAGCTGACTTTGTTGGATTTCAGTCCTGTGAAACACATGTTGTTGCTGCAGATGCCCCCATAGCTGGGTGGGCAGGCTGAGCACGGTCTCCCCACCTTGTACGGAGCTTCTCCTATCCAGTTGCCCCTGGAAAGAGAGGAAGCAGTGGTGGGTGAGTCACATCACTCACTGCCTGGGAGTTTGTTGGCTGTCACATCTGGATTCATTGTACTCTAGACAGGGAGGCATGTGGGTAGGAGGCCTTGGATGGACCATGCTGTCCTAGACAGGTTGAAATCAGGTTGAAATCCAGGTGCACTTGCTCAAAGTGCATCCGGATGCAGGCAGACTCCTGGTGCTAGGCTATGAACCCTAGAACTAGTCCAGGGAGCTTGCCTGGAGCTCCAATGGGAGAGGCTTGTATTTTTAGAGCACTGACCAAGGTGCTGCTAACGGTGCACCTAACAAAGCAGTAACTTCAAATGGCACTGCCAGTGTCTCCCAAGATGGCCTGTTATCATGTAATAGCCTTCTTGTGCACAGCCTCCTATCCTGGGTCTTCATGACCGCTCTCATGAAGCACAGTTCTGACAGAACCGACTATGTCAGGGGAAGAATAAAGCCTGGAAGCTGCTTTGTCTTGGCTCTTGATCCTTTGATGCTTGCACAGTGAACAACTCTCTGTAAACAAACACTGCAGTGGCCTGGGGCACACTCGTTTTGGAGGCACGGTGAGACTAAACTCAGCCACCACTGCTGGGTCAGCTCCACTCCTAGTGGTGTGTCCAGACAGGATGGGTTAGGCCCACCCCCTGGTGCCCAGGGCTCTGCAGGTATGAAGGAACAGTTACATGAGGCTTGTTAACAAAAAGACTCTTGAGTCAAGGTCAGGATAGCAGAGCTGCCTGTGGCAACATTGGCTGTATACGCTTATCTCGGAGCCCAAAGGAAAACCCTCTATAGAGCTAATAGTGGTCATAGGAGAGGCCAGACTGAGCAAAGGCAATGTATGTATGGGTCATCATATTCACAGGCAGGGCTGTGACTGTATGGTTAAGGGCTGAGACAGAAGTCACAGCTTCAACTTTGTGCCTCTCCTGTCAGAGGTCCCTCAGTCAAAGATCAGTGAGAGATGACGCCTAAGGCACAATACTTATTTAAAAAGAAAAATCCCCTGGGAGGGGAGCAAGTGCCAGGGCTGTGCAAAACAGCACCGTTTCGTTTCAACTTCCGTTTCACCATTTTGAAGGGACAGGGTTTGGTTTCACTGTTTCAAAGCACTATTCTGTTTTGCTTCGTCAAAACTATTTCACTGTTTCGACGTTTCGCCCATAGGCTATAATGGGGAATCATGAAAATGCCTATAACTTTGTCATTTCTTTCCTGATTTGAATGAAAACAGCAAGGATGGTAGTCCCTGCTGAGGCCACAAAGTCTGTCAAGCTTCAAGGAGATAGGTTTAGGGGTTTCTGGGAAACTGCACCTCGAACTGTTCAGAGCAAAACTCATGTCACTTGTAAATGTGAAGGCACAGGGGGGTGAAAATAGCAGGCACGGTAGCCTCTGCTGAGGCCGCAAAGCCTGCCAGGTTTCAAGGAAATAGGTGCAGGGGGTTCTGGGAAACTGCACCTCAAGGTGGTGACAAGCAAAACTCATGTCACAGGCGTGTGTTAAGGCAGAGGTTGGGTGAAAACAGCAGGCATGGTAGCCCTTGCAGAGGCCATGAAGCCTATCAGGTTTCAAGGGATAGATGCATAGGTGCTGATGCTGCTGAGCTGCTGGAAGACAGCTCAGTAGCCTGACCCCAAGGCACAAAGAAAGCTCAGTTCAACCAATGCTTTTATGCTGTTTTTCCATCCTTCCCAGAGCACCGGGATTGGAAGGGACCTCAGGGAAGGATCACAGTCACTGGCCAGCTACACATGTCAATATTAGAGCAGTCCTTCCCTCCTCTTCCCCCTCCCTCTCTTTAGTTTCTGTTTAGCTGCAAGCAAGCCTGGCTTCAAAACTCGAGACGTGTCAAAACTTTCAAAATGTTTTGAGTGCCCTTATTTCGTTTCAAAGCTGTTTTGTTTCATTTTGATTTCACTGTTTCAAGCTTGAAACGCATCGAAACAGCTTTGAAGCGAAACACCTGTCGAAATTTCGCACAGCCCTACTAAGTAATCCCCAGCTCCTCACCCCCTTTCCCATCTGCAAGGGAGACTTTCCTTGGCTCACTTACTTGATGGCATAGTTGCACACTAGAAATACAGCCTGCCGCCATGTGCTGCCCCACACCTTCATGTTGGTGCAGGTGTTGATGGCACAGCCAATTCTGTTGGAGGAAGCCCACACC